ATGAAGTTATCGAATATGCACAATCTCGATTTTTAACTTTTACAGTCTGAGAAATATATTAAAGAGATTTAATGTGAAAGGTCTTATACGTCGTACAATATTGTCGTAGGTCTGAAGTGAATAATCACAATCTCTTCAATAGTAATTTCCTTACGATAAGATACACATAATGTTTTAATACCTATTTCTTTAAATTAACTGATAAAGTATAGTGTCACACGTACGATAAGCTCACCGATTGCGCGAAATGCCAATTTCAAGTACCGTAAGAACCTTTGGGAATCCGTGAGAACCTTTCGTCATCGGTTTCTTGTCGAGTAAACCGGTAATGGAATCGAATTGCAGGTATCGGTAGGTGTCTACGGAGTTTTCAACTAATATCGTGGAGCTGGACTGGCCAGTCTGAGATTCGTTCTCGTGAAAGGACGTTCATGTATATTCATGCATGAAGCTGGGATTTTTATGACTCTCGGCTCATGCGAAACCAAGTGCCAAAAGATCCGATGGCGATGATGTCAATGAACGCTGACATTATTTTGATGCCTCATGAGACGTAAGCTAAACTCTCAAAATGTGAAATCAAGTGCCAAAAGATCTAATGGCGATGATGTCAATGAACACTGACATCATTTCGGTGTCTCATGAGACGTAAGCGAGTCTCTCGAAATGTGAAACCAAGTGTCAAAAGATCCGATGTCGATGATGTCAATGAACACTGGTGCGTCACGAGTCGTAAGCTAGTCTCTCGAAATGCGAAATCAAGTGCCAAAAGATCCGATGTCGATGATGTCAATGAACGCTGACATCATTTCAGTGCGTCACGAGACGTAACCTAGAGTCTCGAAATACGGAATTCGCAGAGAAGCAGAGAATCTTGGTCACGGTATACCATTTTTACAAGTATCCGCAACAGATATTAAGAAACGTTTCGTATAAAAGATATTCGTGATGGTATTCTGAACAACTTTTGTCTGAACAAGTTTTCTTTAAAATAAGTTCCAAGCTCAAGTTTAGCCTCATAAGTCACACTTGTTATTGAAGAGACGAAGACGGGCTCCATAATCTGTTCAACATATATGTGTTATAAATCCTAATTTACACCTATATCGTTAGAAAATAATCAAAATGTTTCTTACAAAGGGTGCTCGTAGCAGTATTTTGAACAATATTTGTTTGAAAAAATTTCCTCAGAAATAAGTTCCAAGCTTAAGTTTACCTTCGCAAGTTGAGCTTGTTCTGATCCAAAAAAAGGAGACCAACACCGTAATCTGTTCAACATATATCTGATATAAGAAGTGGCTTACACCCATAACATTATCAGATACAGCAAAATGTTTTCTACAAAAAATGCTCTCCATAGTATTCCCAATAATATTCGTCAGAACAATTTTTCTTCAAAATAAGTTTCAAGCTCGAGTTTAGCCGTGTAAGTTGAGCTTGCCGCGAGCCAAGAGGAGGAGACAAGTTCTATAATCGAACGATTCTCGGATATGAATCTTCATTTTTACTCGTCTTGGTAACAGATACAAAAAAATGTGTCATACAAAAAATTCTTGATATAATATTTCGAACAAGTTTCTTCTGAAGTATTTTTCTCCAAATTGAGTCCCAAGCTCCAGTTTGGATTCGCAAGTCGAACTTGTAGCAACCAAGAGAGGCAGTTGTGGCGGGCCCCGTATTCCGGTGAACGTGGCTCCTCCAGGATTGGTCAACGCGTCGATAGCTTCGAGAATGTCAACCTCTCGAGTACCGTTCTTCCTGACTCGTCTCGGGAATGTCGCAATTTTTTCCTCCCTTACCGCTTCTCCGTGCTCGACGAACCTCCCTTGACATTCGCCTCGGCCGCAGTTAAGAGAAGAGACTTCCGGGGGCAAGTTTCCACTTACATCCCAGATGTGCTTCTCCTTCCTTCTCACACCCGTAGGACCTTGAATTTGCATTTTACCTTCTAATCCATACTTTACTCAACAGATATATACAGATTTAATATTCCCATGTGTATCCCAGATGCGCTTTTCTTTTCTTCATCTTATCTCTGTAAGACTTCACAATTGCATATGTTACTTTCAACCCTATATATTATTCAATTATACACATATTTCATGATTATATGCATAAAACGTTTCCACTCACACTCAAGATACGCTTTGATTTTGTTTTTATAAATCTGTAAAAATTTACAGGATGCACTTTACCTCGTCTTTCATACTTAAACAAATTTCGTGATTACGTAAAAAGTTGCCACTTGCATACAAGATGCGCTTTTCTTTCACTTTTTTTTATATTTGTAAGGTATTGTAATTGGATTTTATCTCTTACTTCATACTTTGTTGAAATAAACAGATTTAAGGTGATATGAAAGTGTGACATATACGTACCAAAAAGTCAAAATATTTATAAAACTTTTCTCCAAACTGGGTGCACCGAATTATCTGAAACTTTAACCCGTGATTATGGAGGCTATAAGGAACTGCGCTGCCCGTAAAATTTCATTTTTCGAAGAAAAATATCTTTTTTTGCTTCTTGTCCGAGATAAGTGCAAAATGTTTTTCGAAAAATGGAATTTCACGAGAGCGCGTTTTTCCTTAGAGCCTCCATAATCACGTGTTAAAGTTTCAGATAATTCGGTGCACCCAGTTTGGAGAAAAGTTTTATAAATATGTTGACTTTTTGGTACGTATATATCACACTTTCATATCAGCTTAAGGTGAAGTAATACACGTCGAGGAACTTGATCGACGTCGATTCATTCACCTTAATGTGTTCACGTGCACTTAGATGCGTTTTTTTCGTTTTCCTTACACCTGTAAGACCTTATAATTGCACTTTTCCTCCTATACCATATTTTACTCAATTATACAGATTCCATGATGATATGAAAAGATTTCACGTGCATCCCAGATGTATTTCCTTACGCACTTAGATGCGCTTTTTTCGTTTTTCTTACACCTGTAAGACCTTATAATTACACTTTTCCTCCTATACCATATTTTACTCAATTATACAGATTCCATGATGATATGAAAAGATTTCACGTGCATCCCAGATGTATTTCCTTACGCACTTAGATGCACTTTTTTCGTTTTCCTTACACCTGTAAGACCTTACAATTGCACTTTTCCTCCTATACCATATTTTACTCAATTATACAGATTCCATGATTATATGAAAAGTTTTCACATGCATCCCAGATGCATTTCCTTTCCCCCCTTCTTATACTTAATAGATCTTGCAACTGCCGATTGCTTGGTGTTCCACTTCACTTAATTGTGCAACAGATCTCATAATTATATAAAAAGTTCCCACATACGTCCCAGGTGTACTTTTCTTTCGTTCATATTACACTTATAAGACCCTGCAAATTAATTTCACCTCTTCCACCATACTTTACTCAATTATACATATTCCATGGCGCACAAAAAATAGTCGTGTATATCCTAGATAGACTTCTCGTTCACTCACCTTATGCCCGTAACACTCCACAATTGTCTTTTTCTTCTCACCTCATATTTTACTCAATTATACAAATTTGATGGTTGGATAAAAAGCTTTTACTCACATCCCAGATCTACTTTTCACTTTTTTCTCCTGTACGATCCTGGAATTGCAAAGTGCTTCTTATCCCATTATACTTCCTGAACTGTAAAGGTTTCATGCTGAAGTAAAAAATATTATAAACTATTATTAACAAAAATATTATCGTTATTAAGATGATGCGAAAGACGCTGAGAAATTTAATCGAGGTCGATAAAATAAAATTCATCTGTACCCTTTTTGGTGGTAAATTAAATATTTAAGAGGTAACATAAGTTGGCGCATCTCGTTAGCGACATTTATAATCATGTAGAATTCTTTTAGAGTCTACGTTGAAAATTATACGAACTAAAGCATTCCATATGTCATTTCAATAAAGACATGATGAAGAGATCGACGTAAAACTGTCGAAATCTCGTGAATTCATTATTCTAACGACTGTTTAGGACCAACGTCGCCATCTGTGACGTTTAGCTGCAACTAAATTTTTGCTCTTAAACCACGTGTTAGCCCCGAGACAAGCCAGCATTCTCTTGCAATCGTTGGTGAAAGTATTTTCCATATTTTACCATCTGATTCTGTAATATTCCATTTCTACGGTATTCTAAATTGTTCGAGCTAGGTCCTGAAACTCTTCATTCTCGATTCTAAACCTCCAAGAAGCGTAAAACATCAAAAACGTGCCCGGACAACACCATGTTGGTTCTAATCCATGATAATTAAATTAATTTTATGATGAAAAATGAAATTTCATGAGTTTCAAGACCTTCCTTTATAGTCTCCCTATTCACGTTGTAACGTTGTAACGAATTGAAATTTCATACTTTAAAACGTGAATATGTAGACCCTAAGGTAGGTCCTGAAACTCGCAAAATTTCATTGTCTATAAATTATTTTTAAAATATCTGTAATCAAATTTGAAAAGAGTTGAAATTTCATGAGTTTCAGGACCTTCCTTATAGTCTCCCTATTCACGTTGTAAAGTTTCAAACTATTCGGTAAACCGAGTTGGGAGAAAAGTTTTATAAACAAAACCTCTTCGACGCCACTTTCACATCACCTTAAGGGGATGTGAAAGTGGCATCCGAAAGCTCAATCGTTCATAAAACTTTTCTACGAACTGGGTGTCTCAAATCGTTTCATACTTTAAAACGTGAATATGGAGACCCTAAGGTAGGTCCTGAAACTCGCAAAATTTCATTGTCTATAAATTATTTTTAAAATATCTGTAATCAAATTTGAAAAGAGTTGAAATTTCATGAGTTTCAGGACCTTCCTTATAGTCTCCCTATTCACGTTGTAACGTTTCAAACTATTTGGTAAACCAAGTTGGGTGAAAAGTTTTATAAACAAAACCTCTTCGACGCCACTTTGACATCACCTTAATATATATATAGGCTGACTCTTCCATATCACCCCTTAATTCGTATATTAATCGTTCTGTTTCGTTGTTTTGCAATTTCCAGGAGTGTTCGCCATTCAAAGTCAGCGAACCTCGTCAAGGACCTCACAGGACATTGTTTTGAGCTCAAGTGCCTATTCCTCGCCGGAAAGGACGCAGGAAATGCTTCAAGGAGGTTCCCGGGATTTTCAGAGGACATTCCCAGCTTTGCATTTAGAGGCGTCGAGGGATAACTCGCAGAATGAAGAAATTCCCCTCGCCTCGAAAAGGATTTATTTCAAGGAGTCCATAGACGACCTCACGTCTTCCAAACACATGGATCACCTCGAAGGGAACAATATCGAAGTCAGGCCGGGCGAATATTATCGGTAATCTTCCCCAAAATTAAAAAGAAGAATCATTTCCTTTGATAATTAATAATCAAACGATACAGCGATTGAACAATTTCGGAGACAGCTTTTTGCGAATTTTTGGCCGGATAAGATAGGATCTGTATAGAAGTTTTTCGAAATTTAATGTAATTAATGTATAGTTATTACGGTCTCATTTTGAAAAGTAGATCACTCTGTTGAAAATATTTTTACAAATATCATATGTTATTGGTCTTCATAGTTATACTAAAATTACATATTTGGTATAATGATTTACATTACGATGTGATGTTTGTAAATTAATGATCAAGTTTACATATGCACATAAATACATCTTCGAGTTTTCGAGATCGGGAGTTCGATGTATCGAAGATCGAGAGTATAATGGTATATAGGACCTGAATGTAATTTCCGATACGTCTCATGAATTAATTACGCTGGTTTAATATTGTACTTGTGGGAGAGAAAATATCATTGTTTCTATTGACATCAGAAATTCCTTATGTTTTATTTAGGATATTCTTTCTTTTGACAATTCTGTCGACTGGAGACGCTTCATACAAGTGTAAATTAATTTTTCTGACAGTTATACAATCTCGGTTCAAGTCATACACTCCCTGAGATTAATTATAATCATAAAGCAAATTTTTTTTATAAATCTTAAACAGAAATATTGAAAGATTTCTCTTACCTCTTTTTCTAAGAAATGTATTAATACATGTTTAATTTTCTGATTAATTTCAGGAGCATCATNCATGAGCATCGTCCCAACGAAAAGCGAAACCATGTCAGGGAAGATCATCTTTTTTTTAAAGAAATATATTAATACATGTATCATTTTCTGATTAATTTCAGGCGCATCGTACCAACGAAAAGCGAAACCATGTCGGGGGAAGATCATCTCTTTTATCAATGAATTATATTATAGTTATTGAAAGATATGAAAGATCATCTCCTTTTTCTATTGAAATATACTAATACGTGTACAACCTCCTGCTTAATTTCAGGAGCATCGTACCGACGAAAAGCGAAACCATGTCGGGGGAAGATCAAGGGGCTCCGCAGGAAAAGAACTCCTCGACGGGGCCCCAGCATCCGTTGGACCTGTACAATCGATCTCCGCAACACGTTCGATTTTTGAGTACCCCGAGACAAAGTCGACAAGAGATCCCCAGGATCTATAGCGATCACGCTCCTCCTCCGGTCCTGCAAACGGTCTCACCAGGGCGCCAAGCGAATCCTGACATCCAGGACATCATCACGAGCATCGTCAATTTGCTCCACGGAAACGTCAACGTTGTTGCTAACACTGCCAGACCTTTAAGGCCCATCCAACCCACGAGGCACGGCCAAATGAATTATTAAATCATTTTATTCTCATTAAATTATTACAAAACGAACGTAGATTTAAAATGATGCGAAAGTGGCAGAAAAGATGTCTCGTTTATGAAACTTTTCTCCAAACCGATCGTACCGAAACGTTTCACACTTGACAATGTGAATATGGAAGCCATAAAGAAGGTCCTGGCACCCATAAAATTGTAATTTTTTTTAATATTTGTTTATGAATGTTTTCAAAATTTTTTATAAAAGGTGAAATTTCATGTGTTTCAGGACTTACCTTAAGGCCTCCACGTTCACGTTGTAAAGCTTGAAACGATTCGGTACACCCGTTTCATACTTTAAAACATGAATATGGAAACCCTAAGGTAGGTTCTGAAACTCGCGAAATTTCATTTTTTATAAACCATTTTTAAAATACCTATAAACAAATTTAAAAAGAAATGAAATTTCATGAGTTTCAGGACCTTCCTTATAGTCTTCCTATTCACGTTGTAATGTTTTAAACTATTCTGTAAATCCAGTTGGGAGAAAAGTTTTATAAACAAAACCTCTTCGACACCACTTTCACATCATCTTAACAGAGATTTAGAGGACCATTTGTAAAGATTCCCGCCTAGCATACTATGTTACGGCGATATGAAATGCCATGATATGTAACGAAAGTTATTCAAAAGGGACATCGATATTATGTAACATCGCATTATTCCCGTACTGTAATATCGTTACAAATCTGTTAACATTGCAGTTATGTAACCTTATCGTAACACATAGTTTGGTACCGATATGTTATGTGTAGGTATGTCACATTATTCGTTTTACGACAATTTGTAGTAACATATATGTTACGTACATGTAGTAGCAACAATGTGTAGTCACACACATGTTAGTACATGCAGTAGCGACAATGTGTAGTAACATACACGTAACATGTATGTTACTACACATTGTTGTAAAACGAATAATGTAACATACCTACACATGACATATCGGTACCATGCTATGTGTTACGATAAAATTACATAACTGCAATGCTAACAGATTTGTAACGATATTACGATACGGTACTAATGCGATGTTACATAATTACGTACGTTACATTAACATGTATGTTACCCTACATGTCAGAAAGACGCATGTAACGGTTACATTGTTCTTCCGGAACTGTTTGGGGGTGTTGGTAAGAATTTTCTGGATTTCTTTTCATTTCGGAAAATTTTTATACACCTTTTCCTTTTCCAGAGGGATGTAGAATGGAAACTGAGTTGACAAGAATGTTGATTTAATGTTTTAGGATCAACAATAGGGGACCACCTAGGATAAACGATGTGCCTCCTTTGCCGCCGGATTTCGATACTCCTGGAATGAATCCGCCACCTCCGGTTGATCTACCTTATCCTTTCGAGAAGCCACCTGCACCTGACAGGCCTTCGGTGAATCAGCTTCCCCCTGAACGACCTGTTAGGCCTTTTCTAAACGGAGTTCCGATCCCGGAGCAGATCATTCCTCAAGGTAACAGGCCTTGGAATCGACCTCACAGGCCAGGTAAATATTATTTCATGATTCTTTCGTTACGGATATTTATATTTATGTTGAAGTCTTTTACAGTCTACGTTGAGAATTATACGAACTAACGCGTTCCATATGTCATTTCGGTAAAGTAATGATAAAAAGATCGATGTAAAATCGTCGAAATCTCGTGAATTCTTTATTCCAACGACTGTTTAGGACCAGCGTCGCCATCTGTGACGTTTAGCTAGAACTAAATTTTTGCTCTAAAGTGTTAGCCCCGAGACAAGCCAGGATTATCTTGCAATCGTTGGTGAAAGTATTTTCCATATATTCCCATCTGACTCCGTAATATTCAATTTCTATGGTATTATAAATTGTTCGAGCTAGGTCCTGGAACTCTTCATTTTCGATTCTAAGCCTCCAAGAAGCATAAAACCTGGAAAACGTGCCCGGGTCACGCCATATTGGTTCTAGCCCACAATAAATAAATACATTTTTTATGAAAAATGGAATGTGATGAGTTTTAGGACCTACTTCAGGGCCTCCATATTTCTATGGTAAAATTTTTATCGAATCGATACCCCCAATTCGAAGATTATTTCCCCCTACGATTTGACTTTTCAGATACACATAGGCTCTCTCTTTCATATCATCTTAATATTATTCTAAGTTCATCAAAAAGTCAAAATTCGCTGCACGACCGCCACGCCCATTGGAACTGAAACTTCTAAGTTACAAAGAATTATCAAATACTAATTACCCTTATTCCTTAAAAATTCTCTGAAACGATGCGAATTTTTATTTGATTTAGATTGAGAGACATTCGAATTTTAGAGACCTGAAAAGCTCTTGAACCCTTTAAGAACTACGATTAAAATTACATTATTCCTTTAAAATTCTCTGAAACGATGGGCTAAGTCAAAATGAATTTTCACAGATCTGGACGAATGTGCCTCTTCGGAGTTGAATGATTGCCACTCCTCGGCAGCTTGCACGAATACCTGGGGTGGATTTACTTGCACATGTAATCCTGGATTAAAGGACCCTCACAAGGACGATCCCACTGAGGCAGGCAGGACCTGCCTCTCCTGTCCATCGAGTCATTGTAAAAATAGAGGGAAATGCTCGTATCAGGGTGACCAGATGTACTGCACGTAAGTTGGAAACGTTGACGGTAATTCTTTTCTTCTTTATCTAAAATTACCTCCACTTTTCAAATCTCAAGGATTAAGGTGAAGTGAAGCTCCCCTCAAATCAATCGATTCAAATAAGACACTTTTTTTTTAAGACTATTGGATAGAACTGTCCGAAACCGTGACACATGACTCGTGAGCACTTTGGAATTATCCTAACACTTTCAAAATTTTGATTTTTGAAACAAATTTTTTAAATTAGCCCAGACCAGAACCGGGCCCTCATATTTCGATTGATATCCAATTATTGAAGGCTCTAATATAAGAAACGAAATGGTCAGGACAATTGTACAACAATTTAGAACACTCCGGTAATCGAGAAACTCGCATTTGAACGGGATAAAGGCAAAAAATGTGCCTTATGCGCTGCTATGCTAAAACGATGGTAATATGAGGTCTAGGAATGAAAATTTAGTTGACCTGGAAATTACAGATGGCGCAGAGGGTCCCTCTGCAGTCAATTAGGGCCTCCGAAACCATGAATCCAGAGGATTTCTGGAGTCTTACTTCAATTTCTTTATAATTATTGTACCAAAACGACAGGTGGAGTATACCATTTAGTGCAATACCTAATATAATTCCACGTAGCTGTCACATATATAAAATGAAATTCGGCAATATAGGTATTTAGAAAAATCTTTTTTACCGCCGTCGATCAAGTTCCTCGACGTGTTTCACTTCACCTTAATTCTAAGCTCGTGTAACGTCAAATGAATCCTATTTTCTGTGTTAATTATCAGGTGTACCGGACATTATTACGGAGCTCAATGTCAGCTGGATGGAGAGGTTTTGGGAGTTGGAATTGGCGTGACAATTGTGTCGCTCATTGTCATTCCATTGACAGTGATTTGTTTGGTGATGTGGCGGTAAAGTATCTCGTTAAACTACTCGTATAAACGCTAAGATCACGTTGGCTTCTTAAAAGTTATTGTTAATTACCATTTTAGCCGGCGTTGGATACGCGAGCAAAAGATGGAGGAGTCCACAGTTTATAGGTACATGCAAGGTGCAATGCCCGGGACGATTCCTGGTGAGTAGAAAATGGAAATTAATATTACATCTTTGTTAATTTACTTGGAATTATTTTAGACATTCTTTTCAATATTTGCGCCTTTTTAAAGGAACTTTGGCGAGGGTCGGTTCAGTCGGGACACTTACTTCTGTGAAACAAGGTCCGCCTTCGAACTTACTCCTTTGGGGACACATCGCGGATCACATGGCAGCTGCAAATCTGTATGCAGTAAGTATAAACAATAATTAATTATTCCCGTCACTTAGTCCTAAATGAATAATTTTTCCCAGAGGAGAATTCATTAAAAGTGCGACTAACATGTTAGATGCGAACCGAACGAGCGTAAATTAATGCAGATTAATAATCTTAGGTCCTTACCCAGACAGCATACGTAAAGTATTCATAGAATGTAGAAAAGAAGCTGGAAAATATTTCTCATGTATATTCGACATCGGAATGATATTTCAAGTACAATATTAGATTATGTACGTTTGATAATGTTTCCCAGATACAGTCAAAATATTTAATGTTTTATAAATATGTATNTTTCCATATATTCCCATCTGACTCCGTAATATTCAATTTCTATGGTATTATAAATTGTTCGAGCTAGGTCCTGGAACTCTTCATTTTCGATTCTAAGCCTCCAAGAAGCATAAAACCTGGAAAACGTGCCCGGGTCACGCCATATTGGTTCTAACCCACGATAAATAAATACATTTTTTATGAAAAATGAAATGTGATGAGTTTCAGGACCAACTTTAGGGCCAGCATATTGCCGTGGTAAAATTTGAATCGAATCGATACCCGCAATTCGGAGAATACTTTCCTCAACAATATGATTTCTTAGATATACCACAACAGTTTAGGACCAACGTCGCCATCTGTGACGTGTAGCTGGAACTAAATTTTTGCTCTAAAAACATGCGTTAGCCCCGAGACAAGCCAGGATTCTCTTGTAATCGTTGGTAAAAGTATTTTCCATATTTTCCCGTCTGACTCCGTAATATTCAATTTATACGGTATTCTAAATTGTTCGAGCTAGGTCCTGAAACTCTTCATTTTCGATTCTAAGCCTCCAAGAAGCGTAAAACCTGGAAAACGTGCCCGGGCCACGCCATATTGGTTCTAGCTCACGATAAATAAATACATTTTTTATGAAAAATAAAATGTGATGAGTTTCAGGACCTACTTTAGGGCCTGCATATTCGCGTGGTAAAATTTGAATCGAATCGATACCCGCAATTCGGAGAATACTTTCCCCAACAATTTGACCTCTCAGATATACATAGGCTGACTATTTCTTATCACCTTAACGCCTTTGACGAGATATTGCAAATGAGGCAACGTCGTTGGAGACCTGTATATTTACAACTATGTACGAAAAATGGAGAGAAACGTCTGAAAAGAAATTGCTAATTATTTTAAAGCTCCAGAAATCTTTCAGTGTTATCTAGTAAGGTCAGTAGTGGGTCGCAAGATATCACGTCTAGGTGACGAAAGGGTCAAGAGTCAATCCTGTTATCAAAAGTTCCGACTAAAATCCGCTAAATCAATTTTTCCATAAAGAAGAGATTAATCAATTGATCGTTGTTATTAAATTTTTCAGGTGCCACTCGAAGACCAATTCCACCTTACAAGCCGTTACCTCCGATGGATTCGGCTCTATTCCACGAAAAAGAGTACCCAGAGAATCAAAAGCACCCAGAAAAGCCACATTCTGGATCCAAGCCTCCTTCGGAACCAAAGCCGGAAGTCCCGAGTACCGAACAAGATTCCGGAAACAAGGAAAACATCGAGGGCGATTCTCACCACAACGTCGGCACGAGACTTCCGGAAAAGGAGGTGACAACTGCGTCGCAAACACCGGAAGCAACGAAGACCTCCGAAGAAGTCCCCGAGACCATGAAAACGAGCGAGAAGAGGCCGGAAGAGACCACGAAGAAGCCGCAGAAGTATCAGCCCCCGCTGAAGGAGAACAAAGTCATCCCCGAAGACACCCTGATCCTCGGTTCCACTCCCCAGTCCTTCTCAATTCCAAATTCGGGATCCGGTACCTCGAAACCGAGCCAAAACAAGGAACAAGGACTACCAAAGCCCGCAACACCTTCACCAGGTCCTGCGGAGACGAAGACAAAGCTGAAGATCAACGAAGCTCAGGTTGAACCTTCGCGACCTGGTGGAGGCGCCGAAAGTGATGGCCATTCAAACAAGCCGGATGTTCCTGAGATCACTCCTCAGACCACTTCTCAGACCACGAAGATCATTTCTCAGATCACTTTGAACGTGGAAACTAGCTCCTCGGTTCATGTCATAGAACCTACCCCTTCTATTGGGGTGCATTTCCAGAGTACCACCGAAGTTAATCCTACGGTGGTGCTTCTGGAGAACCAAGGAACCTCGAAGTCGACCACTGCCACTTCGATTGATCTGGAGCCCAGCAAACCGGCAATGGACGGCTCGGAAAAATCGACTTCGATTCCCACGGATGTCTTATCTTCCGGCACTTCGACTTCGACGAAAATCACCACCTTGCCTGACAGTACTGTCAGGCAGGATTTGACGTCTACTGTCATGAAGACCAAGAGCACTGGTACGTCGCCTATCTGAAATCTTGTCTAGCACTAATGTTTCAGTGACGGTTCTTCGAGATAGTTGAAACCTTATACATTTTTATTCACGTTTAATTAAATTCAATTGAATGTATTGGGGAGGTTGAAAAGTCTTGCGGCACTTACAGGATAGGTTTTAAATTAATTTTTATATATCGAGTTACAACTACGGTTAAGGTGATATGAAAGTGTCATATACACTGTTATGCCGTGAGGTATTTGTCTTTTCGAGGAATCACGACCATTTTATACTATTAAACTTTCACAATTAATCCTTTATTAATTTTCACGCCGAATACTATTGATTCATACGACGTTTATTTTTATATATTATTATATTAAATTTATTTTTATATATCCAGTTACAACAACGGTTAAGGTGATATGAAAGTGTCATATATACTGTTATGCCGTGAGGTATTTGTCTCTTTGAGGAATCACGACAATTTTATACTACTAAACATTCACACTTAATCCTTTATTAATTTTCACGCCGAATACTATTGGTTCATACGACGTTTCGATTCAGATAGACAGTTACAACTGACGCTCCTCAGGAGCCGAGAGAGCAGGGCTAAGGATAAGACAAAGGGTATTCCTGTTGCGAGATACAATTTTGCTGACATAGAACTAACGCTGCGAAGCGGTGTCCATCAATGTTCCCAGGGTGCGGCGAGTGGTAAAAGATTAAAAGGGAGTCATAATGTTAGGGTATAACAATACATACCAAAACGTGAAAAAATATTTATAATACTTCTGCTTCAAATTGGGTGTACCGAATCGTTCGGAACTTCATCACGAGATTACGGAGCCCCATAAGAAGAACGCGATACTCGTGACATTTCAATTTTCGAAAATAAATTTGCATTTATCTCGGACAAGAGCCAAAGAAAGAAGACTCTTTTTTCCAACAATGAAATTTCACGAACATCGCGTTTTTTCTTAGGGCCTCCATAATCACGTGTTTAAAGTTAAGATAATTCGATGCACCTAGTTTAGAGAAAACTTTAATTATTTTCACGTTTTGATATATATAATGACCCTTTCATATCACCTTAATCCCACCAAGCACACTATATTATAGTTATATAACACGGTAATAGTGTAATATATCTAACGAAAGTTATTGAAAAGATACATTGATATTATATGATATGTAATTATTAACGTTCCGTTGTCGATTGGTATTATAATTATATATTGCTAGCTTACCCTCCGGCTTTGAATGGGAGCTAAAAAAAACGCTCGCATTGCCGACTTTTTATAGATTTGCTTCATTGAAATTGTCATCGTTGTCTCCTTCTTATCATAGATTGCCCGGATCCGTATCGCATTTGTTTATCATTTCGATTGCACAGGTATTAAACAATATTTCAATTTTTTTTTTCATCATCTCCACTACCACATTTCTGAGTCGGCGGTGCGATGGCGACATTTTTATGAGCATTAATGATGAAGATTACGGAATTAATTGACATTTTTATTTGTCAGTAAGCTTCCCGAAGTGATAGAGCGATAAAACCAAACATATGTCCCTTGCAAGATAATAAGGAAGACATCCATAAAAATCCGATCAAGATTGGCCCACTCGTTTTCGAGATTATCTCAAAAACATGAACAAACTTTCCCTCTGTATAATATTAGTATATAGTGTAAATTAACCTAACACATAATATGGCACCGATATATTATACGTATGTTACATTATCTGTTTTTAACAATGTTATATACCTGCATAGGAGATGGTAATATAATTTTTACGTACAACGGTGGACATGAATGCCTCCCCTGCAGATACGGCATCGCCTGTGCAGGATGGGAGGGCATTGATGTCTCCCAGTGTACAATGGCGGACATAAATGCCTCCCCTGCAGATACGGCATCGCCTGTGCAGGATGGGAGGGCATTGATGTCTCCCAGTGTATATGTAACATATATGTTACGTTACATGTTACAAAGACATATGTGACTGTAAAATTGTTGTTACAGAACTGTGTTTGATGGGATGATATATTGCTTAATATATCATCTGTAATGACTTATGGGATGCCTCTCCATAAGTTTTTGTCAAAATCTAGAAATAAAAGCGTAGAGGGCTTTTCAACCAACCCAATAGATGCCTAGTGTTGGTAGAGTTGAATTTTGTTTTATGTTTGGAACTTTTAGTAAATTTTAATCATTCTTTAGCGCGCCCTGAAGATTACCCTTATCGGCCAAGACCAGGAATCGTGCTGGATGACACTCTGGATTATAATGGTTCCCAAGGACTGGCCACTCATAGACCATATCCTGCGACCAGATATCCCCAAATTGGTGATATCTTCGATGTGACGGTTTCAGCAATTCAAGGACCCGGTGGCGGAACTTCAGGTTAGTTTATAAATAAATATTATNTTTCCATATATTCCCATCTGACTCCGTAATATTCAATTTCTATGGTATTATAAATTGTTCGAGCTAGGTCCTGGAACTCTTCATTTTCGATTCTAAGATATCTTCGATGTGACGGTTTCAGCAATTCAAGGACCCGGTGGCGGAACTTCAGGTTAGTTTATAAATAAATAATAAAAAGATCGACTACTTCAACGGGTGCAATACAGAATTGAAGGCGATTTCTTTGTCAATAAAAAGAATGTAATAAGTAATAAATGAGGAGGGTCTGAAAGGGCATTAAATACGATTTTCAGAGAGCGTCAGAGTGCCTATCAACCCTGGAGGAAGTGACGTCATCTTGACATCGGCCGTTGAGGGTCAAGGATTCGTTAGTATAGACGGAAAGAGAACTTATTTGAATTTATTCGATAATACCGATTCAACTACCGAACCAACTCGTCCTCACATCCAGCCAACCAGGACGCACGGTCCGATACTCGGTACTGGGTAAGTATAATCAATTGAAAAAACATAGTTAATTAATATTAAGGTGAAGAGAAACATGGCGAGAAACTTGATCGACGTCGGTAAAAAAGGTTCTTCTAAATACTTACCTTGCCGACGTTCGTTTTTATATTAACAGCTGTGTCGAATTATATAGGGTATTGTACTAAATGGCATACTCCATATATCGTTTTCGTACAATAATTATAAAGAAATCGAAGTAAAACTCCAGAAATCCCCTAGATTCATGATTTCTGAGGCCCTAATTGACGGCAGAGGGACCCCCTGCGCCATCTGTGATTTCCGTGCCAACTAAATTTTCACTTCGAGTCCTTATATTCCCATCGCTTTAGCATAGAAGCGTATAAGACACTTTTTTGCCTTTATCCCGTTCAAATGCGAGTTTCTCAATTACCAGAGTGTTCTAAATTGTCGTACAATTGTCCTGACCCTTTCGTTTCTCATATTAGAGCCTTCAATAATTGTACATCGATCGAAATATGAGAGTTCGACGCCATTTTGGTTCTGTTCTGGGCTAAGTTAAACAATTTTGTTTGCAAAATCCAAATTTTGAAAGTGTCAGGATAATTCCTAGGTGCTCACGAGTCATGTGTCAAAGTTTCGGACAATTCTGTCTAATACCCTTAAAAAAAAGTGTCTTATTCGAATCGACTAATTTGAGGAGGGTTTCACTTCACCTTAATGTTTTACGATAGTATACAGGCAGGTAAATCTAAACAGTACAAAGAGTCGTAAATGATTAGGAGTAACTCCATGGCTGAATTAAAATTAACTGGATAGAAAAACAGAGAGGATTAATAGAAAACTAGAAAATTACCCGTCACTGTCCGCGGCGGTTTTTAAAAAGTAAGCATTCGACCCTTTCGCTGTAAGTCGAACACGAGGCGATTTTCAAAATATCTATTTAATATATAAAATATTTTCCAATTGGAACCCGCCGAAAAAGCGTTACCTTTCTTTCGTGACACACATACGCGCAGAAACAGTGCTTTAGTAAAGATGGAAAAATGTGTACAATATGCCTAGATGAAAATTGACAAATTTAATATCGATAATGCTTTCTAATAAATTGTTCACTTCTTCCTAATTGCAGCTTTGCGGTGGCTCAACCAGATGCACCTGCAGTTCCCACACATCCGACAGTACCGAATAGAAGACCGACTTTCCACCGGAGACCCACTCAACCACCTGTACGAATTGACACTTGCATTGTCGGTGATACGAGTACTTGCGATTCGAGTCAACATGAAGCATGTGCAACAGTTCAAGGAGTTTCCGCATGTCATTGCAAGCCGGGATACGCGAGATTGCAGCATTATCTTCCCTGCAAAAGTCAGTTCCAAATTCATTTCTCGTGACTCTCCGGACATGAGGTTGAATTTCCTTCCCGCAGGCGCATTTCTCGTTAAACACCGAAGTGAAAGCATCTTTTTCAAAATTTCCGGGAATTTTTACATCCCGAGATATCAGACGAAAGTGTTGATTAATCGCGTTGAAGGAGAGATAAACACTATATGGGAAATGGGGGACATTGGTAGAATAAAAATTAAGATGAAAATATATTTAGGTGAAGTTCTTACGTAAAAGCATCCTTTTCAAAATTTTCGGGAATTCTTACATCCCGAGATATCAGACGAAAGTGTTATTAATCGGGTTAAAAGAGAGATAAACACTATATGGGAAATGGGGGACATTGGTAGAATAAAAATTAAGATGAAAATATATTTAGGTGAACTTCTTACGTAAAAGAATCTTTTTCAAAATTTCCGGGAATTTTTACATCCCGAGATGTTGGACGAAAGTGTTGAATAATCGGGTTGAAGAAGAGATAAACACTATATGTAAAATAGGGGATGTTGGTAGATTGAAAATTAAGATGAAAATATATTTACGTGAAGTTCTTACCGAGAAATGCGTTAAGGATTCCTCAGAAGAGAAATCCAGAAATGTTTGAGAATTTTAGTTCATGAGAATGGATTGTATGGGTGAAACGTTTTCAGAAATCATTAGCATCGTGGTGTCCATCAGGGTGGATAAGATTTACGAACGGAAGATAGTGTGGGACCGAGGGCTCGGTGATAAGGACTCCGAATCTTATCAGACTTTGGCGTACGAAGCCAACAGAGCGGTGAGATGATTATTAATAATTAAAAATTAATTCCGATATTTAATGAGATTCTATGTGCTGTTAATTTACATGATGAAGATGCACCTTCTGTCCATTTTCTCAGTGATAAGATTGCAAAAATACCCAAGTATGTAAGAAGTGTGCTGAAACCAATATCGCTTAATATAAATTATTAGTAAATAATTTGTTCCGTCCTTTGCAGATCGAGTCAGCCATGTCGATGACTCCATTTTCGGACGAGTATATGGGATCCTCGATTAATACCGTGTACCATGGCGACGTTAGCCAAGGTCAAGGTGGAGTCTTCGTGAATGCGACAATAAAGCTCACCTACGAGCCCAGAACTGCGAGGCCTGCTTTAGCTGGAGAACTGCAGAAACATCTTCTGGGAGTCATCCACAGAAGAAACAATAACATCGGAAAAAGTGTCCTTTACGTGGACAGTCCTACTGGATCGATCTCGAATCTGCAAGGTGATCCTTATCTATCCGGAATAAACAATTAAGATGATATGAAAGACGCTGAGAAATTTAATCAACGTCGATAAATTAAAATTCATCTATACCCTTTTTTATGGTAACGCCATTTTGAATACTCAAGTGTTACTCAACATTTACGTTTATATTGAAGTCTTTTACAGTCTAAGTTGAGAATTATACGAAATGAAGCGTTCCATATGTCATTTCGGTAAAGTAATGATGGAGAGATCGACGTAAAGCTGTCGAAATCCCGCGAATTCATTATTCTAACGACTGTTTAGGACCAACAAAGGTCGCCATCTGTGACGTTTAGCTAGAACTAAATTTTTGCTCTAAAGTGTTAGCCCCGAGACAAGCCAGGATTATCTTGCAATCGTTGGTGAAAGTATTTTCCATATATTCCCATCTGACTCCGTAATATTCAATTTCTATGGTATTATAAATTGTTCGAGCTAGGTCCTGGAACTCTTCATTTTCGATTCTAAGCCTCCAAGAAGCATAAAACCTGGAAAACGTGCCCGGGTCACGCCATATTGGTTCTAGCCCACAATAAATAAATACATTTTTTATGAAAAATGGAATGTGATGAGTTTTAGGACCTACTTCAGGGCCTCCATATTTCTATGGTAAAATTTTTATCGAATCGATACCCCCAATTCGAAGATTATTTCCCCCTACGATTTGACTTTTCAGATACACATAGGCTCTCTCTTTCATATCATCTTAATATTATTCTAAGTTCATCAAAAAGTCAAAATTCGCTGCACGACCGCCACGCCCATTGGAACTGAAACTTCTAAGTTACAAAGAATTATCAAATACTAATTACCCTTATTCCTTAAAAATTCTCTGAAACGATGCGAATTTTTATTTGATTTAGATTGAGAGACATTCGAATTTTAGAGACCTGAAAAGCTCTTGAACCCTTTAAGAACTACGATTAAAATTACATTATTCCTTTAAAATTCTCTGAAACGATGGGCTAAGTCAAAATGAATTTTCACAGATCTGGACGAATGTGCCTCTTCGGAGTTGAATGATTGCCACTCCTCGGCAGCTTGCACGAATACCTGGGGTGGATTTACTTGCACATGTAATCCTGGATTAAAGGACCCTCACAAGGACGATCCCACTGAGGCAGGCAGGACCTGCCTCTCCTGTCCATCGAGTCATTGTAAAAATAGAGGGAAATGCTCGTATCAGGGTGACCAGATGTACTGCACGTAAGTTGGAAACGTTGACGGTAATTCTTTTCTTCTTTATCTAAAATTACCTCCACTTTTCAAANATTTTGAATACACATACGTGGACCAATACTTTAAATTTATATTCCATGGGTGAGTACTTTATTTTTTGTAAAAGTAGGTGCTTACTTTTCAATGTTTCAATATTTGATCTCACCAAATGTTGACTCTAATTTAAAAGTAGAATACTGAAACATGAACCTTTTGTATTTTTACTTGTGTGGCAAAAAAATATCATTAAAAGCGCCGCTAAAAGTCAGATATGAGGAAGAGCCTTAGTCATTAGAAAGTATGGAGCAGAAGTTAATTGTTCTGATTTTTTTAGACGGAACCGATGGGTCCCACGCGACCGAATTCTGGGATTTATGGATATCCGCAGATGAACATTCATAGTACATTGCCCCCGGTACCATTGCCAAGACTTAAAGCACCACCAAGACCTAGACAAAGACACCAGGAGCTTGACAACTCTGATTCCGAACTCCAGGACAAAGATAGGGCTGATTTAATTCCCCAGAATAATGGTTTCCACGTTCCGAGACCGAAATCGAGATCCTCCGTGGCGGTAAGTGCAGAAAGAGGCATAAAAAGCTTCTTGGTGAGCCTCGTCAAAATTGATATCGTCGAGAAAAAATATTAAATAACGTATTAACACATTCGCGACCGGCAAATTTGTCCCGTTTTAAATACCGAGTACCGGCGAAAATAATGAATTTCTGAAACTGGTTGCCGCAAACTTGTATCGTTGAAGCAAGGATAAAAATGATGAAATTTGTGCGCCGCACCGGCTAACAATTAGTGAGCCAACTAAGCAGGACGTGATTCACGTCAGCGGCAATCAGGAATAGAACTTGAGAAGACGTGAATTCACGTCAGCGGTCGCGAATGTGTTAAATAAGAAGTAACAGGTAAGAAAGAAAATTCTGTAACATTAATGTGGATTTTCAGAATCAAAGTGGGATTTACTACGACGTGGATTACGACCAGAGCGATTCCCATCATTTATCAAAGAACAACATCCCACTGTCAACATATAGCACGTCGAGGCCGTACTACAGAACATAAGATTAAGGACGAGTCAAGAAATTAGAGATAACGAATGTCATGGGAAACCTACGAAGATTGTTCACACGAGTGGACGATAATTTCGAAGCGGTTTACAGGGACATTTTTATAAGCTATTGACTAGAACAGAAAGCGTCAATTTCGTGAAACTTCGGAAAAGCTCGACTAAGTTTGTATAAATTAAATGTCCACGGATTCTGGCCTACAGAAACGATTATCGGCGAGGTGAGGCTCTAAGAATGTTAAAGAGATTCTGACGATACTAAGATGACACTCGGAGATGCCAAAAAAACTTTGTAAACTATAACGGTGCCTCCTTGGTCCTAGCTTTATTGTTAATTTGCATCCCGGGTTGATAGGGAGTTAGGTCACTCTAGGAGGGACACTTCGACATCGACTGAAAAGATTATGCAACTCGCATAATTCAAGTCCTGAAAGTAAGATTAATTAACTGATCACTCAGGACGTGTTAATAAGGTACTTTTAGTAAGGTATTTTCTAGCTCACGACTAGTAAGACGCGAAAGACTAAACATATTAATTATTAATATTTATCGCGTGACAATGAGAAGGTTATGCACCAGCCTAAGTGCCTTTTTCTCGGTTATTTTATTTGTTTATCAGGAGGAAAATAATTATATTATAGCGGCAGGAACATGTTCGAATCTGCCTCCGGCGTAGTTAACGATTACGACCAGTTTTTAGGTGTAATGATAATTCGACTGTGGTGCACTGCGTTTTTACCTTGTACATGTTTTTTTCTTTCTTCGCCCATAACTTAGAGTACTCGTAATTACAAGAAATAAAATTGTTAAATTACTTCTTAATTTTTTAACGCATAAGGAATATTTCTAGACCTTTCTGAGGAGACATTAAGGAGCTCTCTTTGCTCGGTGAAGGCCTTTCGTGGGTTTGCGATCCTTAAGGTGAAATGAAACCCATCTCAAGTCAGTCGATTCGAATAAGTCACCTTTTTTTAAGGGTATTGGATCCGATCGAACCCTCCAAAATTTTTAAACATGACTTGCGATCACCTAAGAATTGTTCGGATACTTTCAACATTTGGATTTTGGAAAAAAAAATTGGCTCACTTAGCCTAGACCAGAACCAAAATGGCGATCAGTTCTTATATTTCGATCGATATACAATTATCGAAGGCTCCGATATAAAAAACGAATGTGTCAGAATAATTGTATAACGATTCAGAACACTAGTAATCGAGAAATTTACATTTAAACGGGATAAAGGCAAAAAAAGTGTCTTCTGTGTTAGAACGAAGAAAACAGGAGATCTCGAGGGAAAATTTAGTTGACAATAAAATCACAGATGGCGCAGGGTGGCAGTCTACAGTCAATTGGAGCATAAAAAATCATGAATCCATAGGATTCCTCGAGTTTCACTTTGATTTCTTTATAATTATTGTACGGTAACGACATATAGAGTGTGCCATTTAATGCAATACTCAGTATAAATCCAAAACGCTATCAATACAAATACGAACGTCCGTAACGAAGGTATTTACAAGAATCCTTTTTACCGACGTCGATGAAATTTCTCGACGTGTTTCACATCACCTTAAAGCCTCCTTTCAAAAATTAAGTTAAGTCCCGTTGCACTAGTGAAATGATAAAAAAGAAATTGCACTGCTCCTCGGCTTAAATAAGTGAATTCATTTAATAACAATTTTTTCTCCGACAAATTCGTTACAATAAAAATGAAATGATAAAAAAGAAATTGCACTGCTCCTCGGCTTAAATAAGTGAATTCATTTAATAACAATTTTTTCTCCGACAAATTCGTTACAATAAAAGTGAAATAAAACTTTCCCGAAGAGTCTTAATCCATATTATCGCCAATGATAAATGATCAAACACTAAAGTGGTATCCATTGTACAACGAGTACGAAATAAGTAAACTAGGAGCAAGAACAAAAAACATGAAAAACCGTAATTACAATGAAAAGAGTGAGACGCTTTTTTTTTCTCGTTCCAGTGCAATATTCCGTCATATTGTATTTAGGACATAATTTTGTTAATTTTATTATGCACGAGTTGCATTTCTTTCGGAGAAGGCAATAAGCAGTAACGACGTTTTGGTGCAGTGATATACAATAGGATAAAGGCCCTGCAAGTCAAAATGATGTAATTACATGTTATATATATATATATTTTTGTCAAGATGAATATAATATACATTTGATAAGGTAACTCGGTTCTTCATTTCTGCTTGCCTCGCGCCAAAAGACAATTTCGGTGTTTTTCGCGGCTGGAAAACGTTCCGTGATTTCTGTCCTTCAACTGTTGATTCAAGCCCCGAGAACACTTACAGTGGACTTACCGTAAAATCACCGAAAAAGTAGGGAAAGATCGGGGTCGTTAATAATTATAATCGATGGAGATTCGAAAGACCCATGAATCTTAAAATTAGAAAATGAGTGAGACGCCCGCGTCACACTCAAAGAAAAGATTTACAGGTGTGCTTATTACACCTTCCTGAATTTACAATTGTACCATATACTCCTAATAAACACTAGCTAAATTAATTAACAAATAAACGCCCGCCCCGTGTCACTCTTAACATAATAAAATGACAATCAATCTATCTTCCGTAATTTCATGTTAGTCCAATTAAATCTTTTCTCCGAGGCAACAAGTGTGTGTTAATTTCTCGCCGAAGGGAAAAACAAGCTCTTACAACAAATATAAATATANATTACTTAGATAATTCTGAGTTAAATTTTTATCGCTTAAAGAGATGTTGAAAAAACTTTTGCGAATATCACTGGGCGATGTATATATATATATATTATCTGTGGTTTGCAAGCAAAGTAGATTAATTCGATATCGTAGCAAGGGTCATGTTGCACGGGGATACAACATTCATAAAAAATTTATCAATCACGTAATTCTGCCTGCGAGCCACAAATTCGACTTAGAGAATAAACGTTATCGTGTATTTAAGAGCACATTCGCGGAGAGAAAAACCTTAGGAAACGCTCTTGAAAAAGTCGTAAAAGAGACATATATCTTGTTCAATTTCTTCCTTTCGCAAAAAGGCGGAGATAGAGATATATGTATTATATAATTATATACGCGTGTATCGTTTATATTTATGTAGGAGACTTTTCTTAAGTTTAATTCATCGCTTATATGGAATTGTAAGATAAAAGTGCAAGGCTTGAATCGCTGCCTTTTCAACAGTACCTTAGATTTTTAGATTCTGGATAAAATCTTAGATTATTAATAACATTGAATTAGAGCTGTCTCGTTACTGAACAACGGATAAATGAAAGCCTCGCTCCTGGGGGCGTTATTTTAGGGGTTTCCTTTCAGATTTGTCAAATCACTTCTCATACATTTCTGGAAAAATATATAACATTTTCAAATTACATGAATCAAGTGAACTTTACTATAAATCTCACTTAAGGTAATATAAAATTGACATTCTATGTATATATAGAACGTCCAAATATTTATTAAACTTTTCTTCAAACTGGGTGCACCGAATCATTTGAAACTTCAGCAGGTGATTATGGAGATCCTAAGGAAGAACGCAATACTTGTGAAATTTCATTTTTCGAAAATAAAAAAAAAAATTGTATTCATCTTGGACAACAAACAAAAGGAGACTTTATTTTTTTTTTTTTTTCTAAAAATGAAATATCACGAGCATCGCGTTCTTCCTCAGGGCCTCCGTGATCACTTGTTAATGTTTTAGGATATTTTGGTGGATCCAGTTTGGAGAAAGGTTTTATCAATATTTTGACGTTATATGTGCCCATAATTATGAAAGTGGTCTAAAGTCATATATTTTTTGTTTCGAAATTACATTGAATTAATTTCGTTTGAAATAATAGGGCGTGAAATAACTGATAAACTCATTTTTTTTTTTTTATTTTGACTTAGACCACTTTCATAATTATGGGCACATATATATGTATATAGAATGAACCTTTCATATCGCCTTAACAATACTTTTGTTGTTAAACCTAGACACTGCGTATCTGATTTAGTTTTTATACAATCAGAAACGAAAATCGGTAACGAGACCAGCGACGTGTCGTCAAAACTCGACGACGCGTTTCAAGTCCTGTTAATTAGTAACAAGCACTTGAAGTTTAATCGCGTTTTGCGCCGGTTTAAATATGAGTAAGAGAATCTTTCGAAGGCAAAGAGTGGACGAACCATGGACATACTGTCGACTCCACTAGAAAAAAGTGTCGACTCGACAGACCCCCGTTTAAAAAATACAGATCAAACGGGGATTCAATTGCGAGTGGATTTAAGGTGATATGAAAGGGTCATTCTATAAATATAAAACGTCAAAATATATATATAAAACTTTGCTCCAAATTTGGTGCACTGAAGCATTTGAAACTTCAGTACGTGATTGTGAAAGCTCTAAGGAAGAACGCAGTTCTCGTGAAATTTCATTTTTCACAAAAATATGTGATCTTGCTTCAAGTCTAGAATTAATAAAAAAAATTTTTCCTTGAAAAATAAAATTTCACGAGTATCGCGTTCTTCTTTATTTGAAACTTCAGTACGTGATTATGAAAGCTCTAAGGAAGAACGCTCGTGAAATTTCATTTTTCACAAAAATATGTGATCTTGCTTCAAGTCTATGATAAATAAATAAAATTTTTCCTTCAAAAATGAAATTTCACGAGTATCACGTTCTTTCTTATTTGAAATTTCAGTACGTGATTATGAAGGCCCTAAGAAAGAACGCGATGCTGGAGAAATTTCATTTTTTACAAAAAAAATGTGATCTTCAAATCTAGGATAAACAAAAAAAAAACATTTTCCGTGAAAAATGAAATTTCACGAGAACCGCGTTCTTCCTTAGGGCCTTCATAATCACGTGCTGAGGTTTCAAATGATTCGGTGCGCCCAGTTTGAAGAAAAGTATTATAAACATTTTAACGTATAATATACGCAGAATGACCCTTTCGTATCACCTTAATGTTTGCTGCTTTTCGCATCGTTGGCGAGAAATCGGAAGAAAAGCTATTTTACTATTATTATATATTCCATTTCATTCCAAAAGAGATACGTAGAAAATCGAGAAGCGATATTAGACGACTGCTTAGACAAAATGTTACAATCCTTACAAGTATGTAATCAGGGTTGGCATAAATCAGGTTTTTCTACAAAAAGCCTAGCCCAATAATTTTGCCCGGTTTAAACCATATATGCTGGTTTTTCCCGTCTAAATCGTTGCCTAAAGAACAGGGTTTAAAACCTGGTTTAAACCACATTTAACCCGGGTTCTTTACATTCTTTTATCCCGAGTATGTACAGTAACGAAAATATATTTTAATGCTACCTACACCGTAGATAGGTTAGAATTTATTTTAATTTCTTCGGATGTGAATGGAGCGCATGTGTAGGTACAGGATGCATACAACATTAAAACAAATTCCACGCCACATACATCCTGATGGATTTTATAAGTTGGTTTAACCGGTAAAAACCATGGTTAAAACCGAGTGGGTATTATGTAATGTAGTTTATTTATTAGAAAAAAAAAAAAGAAAAAAAACGGAAAACTGCCGGTTTTAACCGGGATGGGTCAAACTCTGCCAACCCTGTATGTAATACGCAACATTTGAAGCCGAAATGACGTATGATAAAATACTTCGCACTGATAACGGTCGCTCGAAAGGCGCTTCGTAAAAATTCTTTTTATTAAAAGCATCCTTTGCTCTCTCGCTTTCTTTTGTTACTTCTCGCAATTCTTTAGCTCAAGACCGGAAACGGTGCAGGAGCTAAAGAAGCGGCGAAATAGGAAGGTTTCGTTGTGTCGAGGTTTGAATTCTGAGAATTTAAGGTGAAGTGAAACCCTCTTTATATCAGTCGATTCGAATACAACACTTTTTTTTTTAAGGGATTGGACCAAACTGTCCGAAAATTCGACACATGACTCGATCATCTAAGAATTGTCCTGATACATTCAAAACTTGGATTTAAAAAAAAAACTGTTTAACTTTGCCCAGACCAAAATCAAAATGGCGTCGAGCTCCCATATTTCGATCAATATACAATTATCGAAGGCTCTGATATGAGAAACGAAAAGGTCAGGGCAATTTTATGACAATTTAGAGCACTCTGGTAATCGATAAACTCGCATTTGAACGGGATAAAGGCAAAAAAAAGTGTTTTATGCGCTTTTATGCCAAAACGATGGGAATTCGAGGTCTCGGAGTGAAAATTTAGTCGACCTGGAAATCACAGATGGCGCAGGGGTCCCTCTACAGTTAATTAGAGCCCCAGAGAACATGAATCCAGAGGATATCCTGAGTTTTAATTCGATTTCTTTATAATTATTGTATGAAAACGTCAGGTGGAGTATGCCATTTAGTGCAGTACCCAATATAATTCGACACAGCCGTCAATATAAAAACAAACGTGGGCAACGTAGGTATTTAGAAAAATGTTCTTTATCGACGTTGATCAAGTTCCTCGACATGTTTCACTTCATCTTAAGGAAATACATATTCGTTGATGTCGAAATTGTCGTTCGATGTCGAGGATTGGTCGTTCGCTAATGTCGCCTCGAGATTTGAGTGGATGCTCGCATTTTGGAGTTTTTAACGATTTCCAGACAAAGAGCGAATCGCAGCCGAGCACGGAAAGCGCGAGAGTAAATGGGTCGAACGGCATAGACAAGTACTGTTACAGGTATTCAAAGTAGAAAGTGTAAAGTATCACAAGAATCCCAATAACCATTGTCAATATAACATTATTACTCGCGCTGAGTAAAGTCTACCAGCTCACCTAAATTCTTTAAGGTGATATGAAAGAGTGAGTCTATATACATCCCCAACGGAGCATATACATAAAAACGACGTCAAATTGACGTGCAATTTTTGGACTTCCGACGCCAAATAAACGTAATATCAGACCTTGTCGATGTTAAATTGACGTAAAGTGGACGTTCGAATGTCCGCGGGGTGAACATCGAAGAAACGTCGAATAGACGTCGACCTTGACATCCGATAGACGTCAAGTTTACGTAAATTTCGTAATTGCGACGGTCCGTATGTAGAATGTATGTAAATCTCCACGAATAACAACCTTACGTCGAGTTGACGTAAACTTTAAGATGTAGGAAAGAAACGTTAAATATCACGAACGGAATGTAAATTTGACGTCAACTGTACGTCCAATGAACGTCAAGAATGAAACACTGGATGTATCGAAATCCACGTGATTTCGACGTCAGGTTTACATTCCCTTCGTAATATTTAACGTTTGTGTGATGTTTTCTAGATCTTAAAGTTTACGTCAACTTGACGTAAGGTTGATGTCCGTGGCGATTTCGCCAACGGACCGTCGCAATTACGAAGTTTATGTCAATTTGACGTCTATCGGATGTCAAGGTTGACGTCTATTCGACGTTTCTTCGATGTTCACCCCGCGGACCTTCGAACGTCTACTTTACGTCAATTTAACGTCGACAAGGTCTGATATTACGTTTAATTGACGTCAAATGAACGTCAACCGAACGTCAAGGATGAAACACTGGATGTATCGAAATCCGCGCGATTTCGACGTCAGGTTTTCATTCCCTTCGTAATATTTAACGTTTCTGTGACGTTTTCTAGATCTTAAAGTTTACGTCAACTTGACATAAGGTTGATGTCCGTGGCAATTTCGCCAATGGACCGTCGTTATTACAAAGTTTACGTAAATTTGACGTCTATTGGCTGTCAAGGTTGACGTTTATTCAACGTTTCTTCGATGTTCACCCCGCGGACATTCGAACGTCCACTTTACGTCAATTTAACGCCTGTATATAGGCTCTCTTTATATCACCTTAACCGCGAGAAATGACTTTTAACCACATCATTACCCCGAAATCTCTAAATTGCGGAAATCACGTAGCCCCTCTTCTCAAAGATATCCTGGAATAACTCAGTCCACTTTACGTCAATTTAACGCCTGTATATAGGCTCTCTTTATATCACCTTAACCGCGAGAAATGACTTTTAACCACATCATTACCCCGAAATCTCTAAATTGCGGAAATCACGTAGCCCCTCTTCTCAAAGATATCCTGGAATAACTCTCAATAAATACATCAGTCTTCGACATAACAAGTGTAAATGCCATTGACGAAACAACGCGCACAAAGAGTGAGATAGAAAGGAAGAAAGAGAGGCAGTTCAAGATGAGCGTGCGCATTCAGGGCATGTACGGTTTGTTTATTTACAAAGAAAAAACCAAGTTGAAATAAATATGTCATATCATGAAGAAATAATTTTAAGACTCTTATAAAGGTTCGCAACATCTAAATTTCCAGTTGCGTGCCTTGGTCTTGAATGAGTTATGCACTGAGTCCTTGCCACTACATTTTTTGACAGGTTGCAATGAAATGTAATATAATATAAATAATGGAACCGTTTGAGCGCTTTTGACGTATGGGCGAATTTCATCAGAGCGTGCAAGCAATATTGGACCAAACGTCGGACGCACGTATGGGTCCACAGCGTTGAAAGGGTTATCGTTGACAAAAAAAAAAAAAGAAAAAAGGAAATATCGAATACTCTTACATGCCCTGCATACTCTCGCTGTCACTCTGTACCATGTGCCAGTGCATACAGATGCGACGGTATACATATAAAAGTCGGCACGCTCGTGCAGCGTGTTCCACAAAAAGCGGACAGAAAGATAGTAAAAGAGACATACAAAACAGAGGGCGAAATCCGGTCGCCTTATGCTAAGGATACAGCTTTTAGCGGTATTCGCTGGAATTCGGGAAAAGACCGCAACCATAAGGCTCCGCAATTAGGGTCTCTTCGCCAGGGAATGCATCTTGCACTTCGGAATTTTGTCCCGGTAATTTCCCTATCCCTTTTTTGTCCCCTTCGAAGCAGCTATCCGATTATCCCAAGAGCATGCTGAAAGCAAACGGATTAATAATCAGAAGTTATCTATCAAGTGCCCTCAGAGCGTAATCTTGTTAGCTGAAGTGCAACGTTCTGTTCCGGAATAACCTCAAAAACCTAATAGTTGAGGTGAAGTGAAACACATTGAAGAACCTGACCAACCTCGGTAAAAAAAGGTTCTAAATACCTACGTTGCCGACGTCGTTCTTATATTGAGGGCTGTGACGAATTATATTGAGTACTGTACAAAATGGCATACTTTATGTCCTTTTCGTACAATAATTATAAAGAGATCGAAGTAAAACTCCAGATATCCTCTGGATTCATGGTTTCTGAGGCCCTAATTGACGGCAGAGGGACCCCCTGCGCCATCTGTGATTTCCAGGTCAACTAAGTTTTCACTTCGAGACCTCGTATTACCATCGTTTTGGCATAGAAGCGCATAAGACACTTTTTTAGCCTTTATTCCGTTGAAATGCGAGTTTATCGATTATCAGAGTGTTTTAAATTGTCGTACAATTGTCCTGACTCTTTTTTTTCTCATATTAGAGCCTTCAATGATTGAATATCAATCGAAATATGAGAGCTCGACGGCATTTTGTTTCCGGGCTAGATTAAGTTAAAGTTTGTTTAGTTAAAAAATTAAGTTACAAAATTCCTAGGTGCTCACGAGTCATGTCTGAAAGTTACGGACGGTTCGATCCAATACCCTTAGAAAAAGTGTCTCATTAGAATCGACTGATTTGAAGGGGTTTCACTTCACCTTAAAAGGTAAAAGGTACTTGAGGTTTAATGGCAGGTCAACAAATTTAATCGACGCTCAACCTTGAACTTCACTTTACGGAACTGCAAACGACTGATCTTGAGGTTAATACCAATTACGACCTTCTGCACGATGTGTTGCGTAGATTTTTATAAAAAATCTGCTACGCTATGTTATTTATATTACATATCTTTCGGAAGTAAAAGTATTTCCAGAAGATGTGGCTATTCTTGAGGGAAACTTGCCCGATTCGGTCGGTACCGGGGGATTCATCATATGGGGTACCTACCATCTTCTTTAGGCCGTGTAAAGTGGACTTCGAAAATGGGGTTGAGGCAAGAATACTCGGCGAGAACCAATTGAAAATTCCGTTTATGTCGGCGTGGCTTGCGGCTGAGGTGGCGCAGGAGCTGTAGGATTCGTGTTTGGTCTGTAAAATCTGTTGACTAGTTGCTTCAAGCTCATCACAATTCCCAATCCGGTCCCAGAGTCCATATTGATAAACGTGTCCAGATTGTCTTTGCACGCTGCAATACAGATGTTAACCATCACATAACAGATACCCCACATAAATTCACCATAAATAACATGAAAAAAGGAAAAACGGATAAGACAACGCATTGCTTTAAGGTGATATGAAAAAGGCAATCTATATACATATCGGAGAAGTCAAATAGTTGGGGAAAGCATTCTCCGAAATGGGGGTACCGATTCGTTTCAAATTTTACCATGGGAATATGGAGGTCCTAAAGTAGGTCTTAAAACTCCCGAAATTTCATTTTTCATCCAAAATTTATTTATTTACCATGGACTAGAACCAACGTGGCGTGGCCCGTGCGCGTTTTCGATGTTTTACGCTTCTTGGAGGCTTGGAATAAAAAATGAAGAGTTTTAAGACCTAGCTCGAACAATTTAGAATACCATAGAAATGGAACATTACAGAGTTAAATGGAAAAATATGGAAAATACTTTCACCAACGATTGCAAGAGAATGTTTGTCTCGGGGCTAACACGTGTTTTTAGAGGAAAAATTTAGTTGCAGCTGAACGTCACAGATGGCGACGTTGGTCCTAAACAGTCGTTAGAGTAATGAATTCGCGGGATTTCGACAGCTTTACGTCGATCTCTCCATCATTACTTTACCGAAATGACATATGGAACGCTTCAGTTCGTATAATTCTTAAAGTAAACTGTAAAAGACTTTAACATAAACGTCGGTACCGGGACGCGCCAGTTTATGTTACCACTTGGGTATTGAAAATCACGTTTCCACCAAAACGGGTACAGATGAATTATAATATATCGACGTTGATTAAATATCTCAGCGCCTTTCATATCATCTTAAAGGCGCTAATTTAAGAGCAAGGCCATACATGTTGAGATCTCATTCACGATTAAAAAAAAGAAAAGAGTAAAGAAGGATAGGATCGCGAACAACGAAAAGATTGACGTGATATTTTCACTGCATGCAACTGCAATTTTATGATCACGGAAACAGCGAAAGTGGAATAAAGTACTGGATATAAATCTGGTATGAAGATACATAAATCAGCGCGGGGAAATTTAACGGGGAAATGGGGGAGGAGAACAGGAAGCAATTATTAAAGGGCAAAAAAGAAAAGAAAAAAAAACAACAAACCGGGGGTTACCAGAGTGAGAAATCAATGCTTGTTGGCGATGTCAGGAGTTAGAAAATCCGGGGCGAGGTAATAAGATAAATGATTAAGAGAACCAACTTGGTGTCGAAATTGGTGGATAGTCTGGCGGCGTTTTGATCCACGTGCCGTCCTCGCGTTTCATGTGTTTCCTGTTGGAAGCAAATTGCTGCAAATACGCACTGGCTGGGACCAATCGAAACCTCCTGTGATACTCGGGACGAAGTGCGTCATCCGATCGGAAAGTCTCGGTGGCATATTTCCAAAAGTGCGTCGGGAACGGCAATGCGCTGTCCAAGTCATAAACCACAGCCCTCTCGTCCGGTGCATATATCAGGATCACGTGATAGTCCTGAAGAATTAAATGCAATTAAATTTACATCCATCTCATTTGAATCACAAATCATATCAATTACCAACTATTATCAAGGGAGTGCTATTAGAAACTTCACGAGTCCCACATTATGAGATTCAAAGTTATTCACCCGAGCCTATAATCCGTCGACCTCAAATCTGCGACATTTAAGGTGATATTAAAGGGTCATTTTCTATGTATAAAAAAAAATGTCAAAATATTTATAAAACCTTTTCTCCAAACCGGATGCACCGAATCATCTGAAACGTTAACACGTGATTATGGAGGCTCTAAGGAAGAACACAATGCTCGTGAGATTTCATTTTTTAGACAAGAATGTGACCTTAGTTCCAGTCTAGGCTGAATGAAGAAAAATTTTCTTTGAATAATGTAATTTCACGAGCATTGCGTTATTCATTAGAGCCTTCATCATCACGTGCTGATGTTTCAAATGATATATCGAATGACCATTTCATATCCACCTTGAGATTTTAAAGAATGAAGAACAATTTGTTTAACGAGCTTATTTCTTAAACGTTTCTAATCCATGCTTCAAAATAAATATCATAAATTCTATTTTAAGTTAGAATTCATATTATTACTTCTGCATCCAGTTTATGCACATAGATCACTTCTTGTAATTCCTTTTTAAACGGGTGAAATGATTCTTCGTAACGGCCGAATGGTTGTTACATGAACTATTTGCGAAAAGATCTTTATGCATATAGATCGTTTCGCAAATAGTTCATGTAACTCCTTTCTAAACAAATCCTAAAAAATAAATCTAAATAAATTCTAAAAAAAAAAATAGTTCATGTAATTCCTTTCTAAACGGGCGAAATGACTCTTCAAAGCGTTCGAATAGTTGTTACATTAACTATTTCCGAAATGATCTTTATGCACATATATTGCTTCTTGTAATTCCTGTTAAAGGGGATGTGAAAGTGGCATCCGAGGATCAATCGTTCATAAAACTTTTCTTCGAACTGAGTGTACAGAATTGTTTCAAATTTATAACGTGACTACAGGTGGGAATAAGGAAGGTCCTGAAACACGCGAAATTTCATTTTTTATCAAAAATGTTGAAAGCATCTATGAAGAAATTATCTAAAAATTGAAATTCCATGGGCGTCAGGATCTTCCTTACAGCTTCCATATTTACGTTGTAAAGTTTGAAACAATTCGGTACACCCAGTTCAGAGAAAAGTTTCATAAACGAGACCTCTGTGTCGCCACATTCACATCACCTTAAGTGGGTGAAATTACTCTTCCGAACTGTCGTTACAAGAACTGTTTCCATAATGATCTTTATGCATACAGATTGCTCCTTGTAATTCCTTTCTAAGTTTGTGAAATAGCATGTCAAAACGTCCGAATGGTCGTTACATGAACTGTTTCCGTCTGTATGCACACATGTCTCTTCTTGCAATTCCTTTTTAAGCAGGTGAAATGACTCTTAAAAACGTCCAAACGATCGTTACATGAACCGTTTCCGTAAAGCTCTTTGTACATATAGATTGCTCCTTGCAATTCCTTTTTAAGTTTGTGAAATAGCATGTCAAAGCGTCCGAACGGTCGTTACATAAACTATTTCCGTAATGGTCTTTATGCACATAGATCGCATCTAATAATTTCTTTTTAAACAATTGAAATAACTCTTCGAAACGTCCGAATGGTCGTTACGTGTTAACGTTTCCATAATTATCCATATGCATATAGAACGCTGCTTGTAATTCCTGTTTAAGGCGTTCCAGGCTTAATTGCGCATAATCGTAATATCGAACGTAGCGTCCAGGGTGCATTAAAGCAGAAGAGAATCGATGCCAAACGTTCCAGAAATAAGCTCTCGAATTGTATTATATTCGCTCTCCGAAATGCACCTGCGGCACAGCTCGTAACGTGGGGAGAACGCACCCCGCCGTTGAAATGGCCAGTACTAAAATTAGAAATTGAGAGGTATTCGATCCGGTTGGTCTATAAAAAAATCCTGGGACCCTTATTTCCACATCCCTGCCCCCAAGGTCCCACTTACCCAAACGACCAGTTTATCCTCCCCTTTACCCGCTCGCTGGCGCCACAGAGGAACGCTGCGCCCGGAATTGCTTATAAAAGCGACATGACAATGTTGCAATTCCGCCCCATGCCTCGTCGCTATATCCTGGCAGAGTTTCCACACGTTTTCCTCGCTACAAAACAACAAAAGCGGGCTTAAGCATCAATGTTTCTCTACATTTATTAGCACTAGGTTTACGGGACCCGTCAATTTGACGGAATTCAAACTTCGAAAAGAAATACCGAAAAAACCATAGGATTAATTTTAACCATTTTTGTATCGTAAATTAATCATTTCATCCAAAGAATTTGTACACACAATTATTTTTTCCTAAGCCTTCTAATTATTAAAATCTGTATGAAGTATACCTATCTCTACGAAACCCGTCAAATTGACGGACTAGCTAATTTCATAAACAATCCATATATATTTGCTTCGTTGCAGTGAGTGTAAGGCGAAGATGAGAGTGAAAGTTTGCATTGAAAGTGGAGAGATAGAAGGATCTTCGGATAGTGAAGAGGAAAACTTCTCGAAAGGGTGTCGTAGCAAGAAAAGGATGCGTATTCTTTCTAGTTCTGACTCCGAGGATGAGAGGACGAGCATTCCAATCATTGCCGTGATAATTTTTAAAAAAGGACTTTTTACTTATTAATCATTCATTTAAACGTAAAGCCTAGGGTTATTTAATTCAGACTTAATTTGAATAAATCGATTTTTTAAAGAAAATGCGTGTTTTCGTTTATCCGTCAATTTGACGGATGCTCGTAGAAACAGGTATATATAAAACGCCCGTAAACCTAGTGTTAATTAAACTCAACGACAGTGCGCCCATCCAGAAGTCTCGTTTCATCTCGAATTAATATATTCAAACAGAGGGATTGACAACGATGAATAGAAACCTAAGCGAATCTCTGAAATACTTTAGATATTTTTTAACTACATATATACGGTGGCAATTTGTTGAATTTCGGAACGTTTTAAAGACGAGAGCGCCGACTACCCACCAAACACATTATGTTACAATTACATAACCCTGGAATAACATGATATATAACGAATGTTATTCAAAAGAAACATTAATATCATATAACGTCGAATTATTACCGTTATATGATATAACATATTACCAATATGTTATATATACTTTACATTATTCGTTTTATAACAGGGTTATATAGCTGCGGAGGAAATAGTAATACAAATCTTACATTACAATTACATAACCCTGGAATAACATGATATATAACGAATGTTATTCAAAAAATACATTAATATCATATAGCGTCGAATTATTACCTTTCGGGAACATTATTACAAACTTGTAAGCATTGCAGTTATATGATATTAACATAACATATAAGACGTTACCGATATGTTATATATACGTTACATTATTCGTTTTATAACAGTGTTATGTAGTTGCGGAGGAAATAGTAATACAAATCTTACATTACAATTACATAACCCTGGAATAACATGATATATAACGAATGTTATTCAAAAAATACATTAATATCATATAGCGTCGAATTATTACCTTTCGGGAACATTATTACAAACTTGTAAGCATTGCAGTTATATGATATTAACATAACATATAACATGTTACCGATATGTTATATATACGTTACATTATTCGTTTTATAACAGTGTTATAGAGCTTCGGAGGAAATAGTCATACAAATCTTACTCATATGTTATATTTATGTGACATTACATGTTACAAACGTTATGTAACGGTTATATTATTGTTACGTAACCGTGTTTGGTGGGTAGAGTGAGATATTTTTATAAGTTAGAACAATCCAATTATTGGAAATAAAGATGATTTAATGGAAACGTCAGTGCACCGATAAAGTGAGCTTCTGGAAGGGATTGAAAATTTTCTATCAGGCGTTCGGGGTGTAATCTCGAAGCTGTTAAGGTGATATGAAAGTGTCATATATACATACCAAGAAGTCAGAAATATTAATGAAACTTTTCTCCAAATTGGGTGCACCGAATCATTTGGAACATCATCACGAGATTATGGAGGCCCTAAGGAAGAACGCGATGCTCGTGAAATTTCATTTAAAAAAAAAAAATGAAATTTATCTCGGACGAGAACTAAAAAAAGGAAATTTTTTTTCGAAAAATGAAATTTCTTCTTTAATGCCTCCATAATCACGTGTTAAAGTTTTAGATAATTCGGTGCACCCAGTTTGAAGAAAAGTCTTATCAATATTTTCACATCTTTATATATATATATATAGAATGACCCTTTGATATCACCTTAAAGTCTCGCAAGTGGGTCTTAATAAATTCCCCTTTAATCTTGCTCCGGGCATTTCGCGGGAAGCCTCGCCAATTAAAACTCACCTTTCCATTCCTCGCGTAAGAAGGGAGGAAAAAGAGGTAAGTAAAGATAATCCCCACGCTAGAAGTTCGATCGAATTACCGCAAGGTCAGATTCTCTTCTCAGAGCGGTCTGGGAGAACCGAGATCCCCATCGAAATGCACTCTTAAAAAGCGCGTTTCCGTGCGGAATAGCGGAATCGCGTGCAGGTCCGGCCGGACGGCTCGATATTAGCGCGAGTTATCTCATCTTGGTAAATTATTAACATCCCGAGTAATAAAAAGCTGGCAATTTTCGCGCGGTTGCGGCGCACTGGCGGCTCGACCAATGAGAGGGCGAGATTCGTCAGCGGCGGCCATCTTGAAATCCTCGATTGGCCGCAATTAGTTCAGAGGCGCACCGGCGGTGGCGCCACCGCGCCGTACCCAGCAAAGACCGTACTAACGACGCGCGCAACCGCCAGATTGACGGTACACTTTAAACGATCGTAAATCCTCAATACGGATACAAGTTCAATAAAAAGACGTGCCAATGCATTCCTCATATTCTGGGGAAAAATATTCTCAACGACTTTGAATAACTTCCGTCAGGTATTACGATAGAGAACCAGGGCGAAGCGAAAGTGGAACTCGAACGGTTCGGAGGCCGACCGCTAAAAAGAGCCTCCAGCTGGGCCCACCGCGTTATCGATCCGCTTACCGCAGCCGTGGCGCCTCGCCTCGCCCCCAAAAAAATATCAAAATTAAGGAAATATGTAAGGAACTACTGCTGTCTAGGTTAATTATCCTCGACTAGATATACCCCGAGCGCCGACGCGGCCGGCTCTTCGCAGCGTCTCGACCGCGCCGAGTTTGATCAAATAATCGCTGGATCGCGATCATGCGATCGGAATTATCTACATCTGATGAAACTTTTGACATCCTCGACCCCGATTTAGGGGGGACATGTATCGGCGATTTTCAAAATACGAACCGGAACCCGCCGAAAAACCGTTACCTTTGTTTCGTGACACACGTATATACACATACGCACAAAAAAGTGTTTTAGTAAATGGAGAAAATATTCGTCTTACCAGTAGCAGCTGGTGTAAATACAGTCCGAGGCTTTGGTGAAAAGGGGGACGAGCGGCTTCGCGTTCCCGGCGACACGCGGCTCGGCGGCCATTGTTTGTTTACTAACGGAGATGGTCGACTCCGAGAGGATAATTTGTCGCGGCTCGTCCTTACGACGGAGACATTGGTGACGTCATCGGGACCTTCCGTGGGTGTCGGACTGCCTTTGGACCACCGCGTCACCTCTTTTGGGTCGTATAGACTCGTTAAAAGCGAAACATCTTGCGAGGCAGCGCTCCGCTCGACTCGGGAACGGCCTGGCGCTCTCTCTCGACTGCGCTCCGATTGCCTCGCTCTTAGGCATTTTTGGGTCGATCGAGCAGGGCGCATGCGTCGACGGCTAACCTCTTCGTATATACGGGGTGACACCGTACCAATTGCGTTTCCTTTTTATACGCATTTTCGTATGTTCAAATCGGAATTTTTCACAAAATTCGCAATGTAATCAGGAATCTTAGTAGATTTTCGCGCCAAATACATTTCAATATGTGTTAAGTATTTTTGGGTCGGTCGAGCAGGGCGCATGCGTCGACGACTAACCTCTTCGTATATACGGGGTAATACCGTACCAATTGCGCCTCCTTTTTGTACGCATTTTCGTATGTTCAAATTGAAATTTTTCATAAAATTCGCAATGTAATCAGGAATCTCGGTAGAGTTTCGCGCTAAATATATTTAAATATGTGTTAGGTATTTTTGGGTCGCTCGAGCAGGGCGCATGCGTCGACGACTAACCTCTTCGTATATACAGGGTGATACCGTTTCAATTGCGTCTCCTTTTTATACGCATGTTTGTATATTCAAATCGGAATTTTTTACAAAATGCCCGATGTAATACATCGACATTGATTCTTCATATCGACGTTGAACGTAATTTAATGACAACTGCAACGTGTTAAGGTGAAGGAAACCCATCTCAAATCAGTCGATTCGAATAAGACAATTGTTTTCTTTTAAGGGCATTAGATAGAACTGCCCGAAACTTCGACGCATGACTCGTGAGCACCTAGGAATTATCCTGACATTTGCAATATTTCGGATTGCCGAAAAGGAATTTTTGTCTTTGCCAAGACCAGAACCAAAATGGCGTCGAGCTCTCATATTTAGAGCAATCATTGAAGGCTCTGATATGAAAAAGAAAAGTGTCAGGAAAATTGTATAATGATTTAGAACACTCCAGTAATCGAGAAACTTACATTTAAACGGGATAAAGGCAAAAAAAGTGTCTTCTGTGCTAAAATGAAGGTAACAAGAGATCCCGAAGAGAAAGTTTAGTTGACGTTAAAATCACAGATGACGCAGGGCATCCCTCTGCGGTCAATTAGATCATTAAAAACCATGAATTCATAGGATTTCTGAAGTAGTACTTCGATTTCTTTATACTGATTGTACGGAAACGACATATCGAGTACGTCATTTAATACAATACCCAATATAATTCCAAAACACTGTCAATACAAACACTAACGTCGGTAACGTAAGTACATAGAAGGACCCTTTTTACCGACGTCGATCAGATTCCTCGACGTGTCACCTTAAGAGTTAAATCACGGCAATTGATCAAATTCGTTAAAATGACAATTTATTAAAAGAATTATATATTTACTTAGAAAATGATTGTGTGGGTTTTCACACTGAGCAGTTCTTCTGTACTTGAGGGAACTCCGAGTGATTTTACTTTTTAGCTTTATATTTAGCCTTATAATAAATTTTGTAAGTTTTGGGGATTTTATGTGACGCGTTGCAACCAGCACGATTGGAATTTATGGAACACCCTGTAGAGGCGCCTCGTCTGCTCCTTTCTGCTTTACCGACCGCACGCGTGCACCCGCAGGCCCCCTACTCCATCGGTCACTTGCGAGCATGCACTTCTGCGAGTGGCCAATCAGCGCGAGGCTTAGCCCCGCCTCCTGGACGGGTCGACCAATGGGAGCGATTCCAGATTTTTCCGCAACCTTACGAGTCAGTCATGCGTGTATGGGATTTGCGCCCCTCCGAGTCGTACGTCTATGCGTGTACAAAAATAGAAAAAATGCGTGCGATAGGGCGACGTTTTGCCCGCCAGGAAAGTGCAGCTACTTTACGGGGGAAAAAAATACTTATCTTCATTCCGCTGCATGGATTTTTTTTCCAATTTAGCGGTTATTTGCCATTTAGAAAACGATTTAAATTCCGCGGAACTTGACAAGCTTGAAATAAATATATCTATACCTGTATTGTAAAGATAAATAGTCTTAAGTCCAGCTTGCGTAAATTTAGAGCCTTGATTACGTACATGTTATCTAATATTGACTTTGTCTTGTGGTCAAAGTTTTCTCAAAGTTTTTAAAAGTGGACCTATTACTCTTTACCTCTGAGGTTCAGGTGTAATTGTAAGTACAAATGCTCAATTATTTAAATAGAATCCACGCAAGCTTTTGTTTTATTTGGATTTTCTGGGCTAAGTTAAAAAATTTGTTCCAAAAATCCAAATTTTTAATGTATCAGGACAATTCTTAGATGATCACAAGTCATGTGTCAAAGTTTCGGACAGTTTGGTCTAATACCCTTAAAAAAAGGTGTTGTATTCGAATCAACTGATTTGAAGGGGGTTTCACTTCACCTTAATGAGTCCTTATGAACTTATCTTGCTTTAATGAATTCCCTTTATAATTTGAAACATCCCCAAATATGTTGTTTCGTTAACATGCACTCCTGGACGGAGAGATAAAATTATTATACTGACGTTTAGATTCTCCTGAAATGTGTGCTTAGAAATTATTTCCGCTTAATGTACCATGCATTCTAAACAGCTGATCGAAAGGCTTGGTGGATGCGGCCCTAAAATCGGGAGATAAAATAACGCGAGGAAGACGCGCATGCCACGATAAAATTATTTTACTGATGTTTGGATTCACCTGTAACGTGTCCTTAGAAATTATTTCCGCTTAATGTACCATGCATTCTAAACAGCTGATCGAAAGGCTTCGTGGATGCGGCCCTGAAATGGAGAGATAAAATAACGCGAAGCAGACGCTCATACCAGCCACGATAAAATTATTTTACTAATGTTTGGATTCTCCTGCAACGTGTCCTTAGAAATTATTTCCGCTTAATGTACCATGCATTCTAAACAACTGATCGAAAGGCTTGGTGGATGCGGCCCTAAAATCGGGAGATAAAATAACGCGAAGCAGACGCGCATACCAGCCACGATAAAATTATTTTCCTGATGTTTGGATTCTCCTGCAACGTGTGCTTACAAATTATTTCCGCTTAATGTACCATGCATTCTGAACAGCTGATCGAAAGGCTTGGTGGATGCCGTCCTGAAATGGGGAGATAAAATAACGCGAAGAAGACACGCATGCCACGATAAAATTATTTTACTGATGTTTGGATTCTCCTGCAACGTGTGCTTACAAATTATTTCCGCTTAATGTACCATGCATTCTGAACAGCTGATCGAAAAGCTTCATGGATGCGGCCCTGAAATGGGGAGATAAAATAACGCGAAGCAGATGCGCATGCCACGATAAAATTATTTTACTGATGTTTGGATTCTCCTGCAACGTGTCCTTAGAAATTATTTCCGCTTAATGTACCATGCATTCTGAACAGCTGATCGAAAGGCTTCGTGGATGCGGCCCTGAAATGGGGAGATAAAATAACGCGAAGCAGACGCTCATATCAGCCACGATAAAATTATTTTACTAATGTTTGGATTCTCCTGCAACGTGAGCTTACAAATTATTTCCGCTTAATGTACTATGCATTCTAAACAGCTGATCGAAAGGCTTCGTGGACGCGGCCCTGAAATGGGGAGATAAAATAACGCGAAGCAGATGCGCATGCCAGCCACGAAACGCGTAGAGGGATAATCTTCGGTCGAAGGTGGGACTGAAAGGTTATATCGGAAAAAGGCCGGTCTAGTCTTTCAATCGAGTGTGCATCGAAGTAGGCATTAAATCTCACTAAACTTTCAACAGGGATACTGCAAAAATGTCGATTAACGCTGCGAAAGCTGTTCTCAAACCTGACTCTGTAGCATTGTTAATTTGCGACGTCCAGCAAAAGTTCGCTAAGGTCATTTATGAGTTTGACAAGATGCTCTGCAATTCTACAAAACTGGTAAATCAGTCATAAAACGATGATACTCTTGCACCTTAACAAATGGATGAACACATTTGTAACCTAACAAGTTCTAAAGAACGAGACACTTTGTATTTAAACTCGGTAGAGGATGTTGCGCTTCTCATGTTTTATTGCCAAATTGAAGTCAAGCAAAGTTAGAGTATCGTCATTTCATTGATTTCCATAGTCGGGGGAATTAACCGTTGACATTTTTGTCCAGGTCGGTGCATTGAAACTCCTGGACATTCCAATACTGATAACGGAGCAGTATCCAAAAGCTTTAGGACACACTGTTCCTGAATTGGCAGGTTGTGCTACGAATGGACCGTTTCATAAAACTCAGTTTAGCATGTACACAAAAGAGGTAACCGAGATAATTTCATTCAATGAATATAATTATAGACTCGAGACCACCTTTCCTTAGGTATGCACGGAGCTCTCGAAGATCTGTTGCGGGAAACCTCCAGAGTCTATAATACTTATTGGTATCGAGGCTCATGTGTGCGTAGAAAACACTGCAATTGATTTAAAGAATAATGGCTTTGAAGTGCATACCGTAGCAGATTGTTGTTCGTCTCGCTCCCAAGAGGATAGACTGCTGGCATTTCAAGTAATAATTGTCTATACTTACTAAAATCATTCTATAGTTTGTTATAAAATAACTAATAGTTAATCGTTTCCATTATTTTAATTGTATTTATCATTTAACAGAGAATGCACCAATTTGGTTGTCAGATAACGACTTCAGAAAATGTGATATTTAAATTATTGAAAGATTCAAAGCACCAACACTTCAAGGAAATACAAAAATTAATACAGTCTCCTTCTCAATATACAGGATTGGCAACGCTTTCGAAGATATAATCGTTGAATGTATTTTCATACTGATAGTTGTTATATATTTTGTAACCAAGATTTTACCAATAAATCAAAGATATCCTGATGATTATAAATAAATACTTTGTAATATAAACATACTAAATGCCCTAATAATAATTATTTCTTTGTTTTAATGATATTCTGTTCAATTTGTAGGTGATGTACTTAACGAACTAGGTTATTTCATTATAAAAAAATAGTCATTCTTATTACATACATTATCGAAAATCAATGTGGCTGGCATACATAAAAAATGTTTATAAAAGACCATTATTATAAGAAACAAAACATTTAGTAAATCATGTCCTGCATCTTTACTATAAAAGTAACAAAATTTGAGCAAGCCGTGATTCATCGGCATTAACTCAGTTGATTCCAGTAGATCCAAATCCATCAGCTCCTCTTGTTGTATCGTCTAATGCATCCATTTCAAGAAGTTCAGGGTAGGCAATTTTCTCACAAATTAATTGAGCCACTCGATCTCCGCGGAGAATTTTAAATTCATCCTCAGAAAGATTAAATAATACGACACCAACATTTCCCCTGTTTCAACCATACATATTAACATAAGCATAACTTATGAAGTAATTATTAAAAGAGATAATATTGTGCTTACACATACTAATTTATCGTTACATTATTTTAGTGCTCTAAATTGATTAAATCTTCAAATATTCTAAGGATATCCATAATGTATAATTTAAATAACAGTATAAAATAAAATGTAAACCATGTAACAATACGAAACAAAGGCTGCGATATTTCCTTACCGATAGTCAGCATCGATAACACCAGCACCAACGTCGATAAAATATTTCAAAGCCAGTCCAGATCGTGGGGCGACTCGGCCATACGTACCTTGGGGAACCTCAATCTGCAGGTCCGTCTTGATGAGCTCCTTGCCACGTGCCGGTATGGTATAATCATAGGCACTATCAAATATAAAAAGAATATCTTACTGTTCCTGCCTTAGAAAATTGGTAAAAACACATCAATACATCGTCAGAAAAAAATTAACATTACGATGTAAACTGGTATAAGTCATTCCATTCAATAGAATATATCTACGTTCCATAGAATCGAAATTACTTAATATGGTTTTACGTACAATTAATATCATTAAATAACCTTAAAGGAGTGTTAGTGAAAAGTCGATGAACAAAAAGAGGTTACCTTCTCAAATCAAAGCCCGCGGAAGCGACGGATCCTTTCATAGGCGAGAAAGCTTTATCGGAGAGTTTTGAAAACTTCAGGATGTTTGCCATTTTCTAAATGCTTGCAACGTACTGTTATCGAGAAAACAAAACGACGTCGTTCTACAAGAATCACGTCGCAAAATACCGGCAATACTAGGATGAGTAACGAAGTTTAACCCGGACCGATTCCCGCCAATTCTCGCGATTACGGTCAATTACTGTCCTTGCGATTGGCTGCCGTCTGTTATGACGTATTTTGGACGAGAGCGCTCACCTCTCGCACTTTCATCTCACGTGGGTTTATTCGCCGAATTACGTATTCGCTATATGAAAGAACGAGATTACTAGCACTTCCGGTTTAGTAATATTACCAAATAAAGGTGGGTTATAGGCAGGAAAGGCGGGAAGAAGGAAAGCCGTAAAAAGTAAAGAGGACTCGAGTCTATCTATATTTTTTAAATATGTATTACATTCATATTTTCATGTACTATAATTAGAAATTCAACCATATCATTTTCTTATCATGTCATGTAAACATGAATTATTTAACAGATTTCAACGTTTAATGATGTAATATAATCTCACAATAACAAAAACTAACCTGTACATCCTAGTGAATTCTCTTTCTTCTAACGAAAATGGGTCTGAGGCATCATGAAATTCTTTTCTTCTTCTAATAAGGTTATTATTACGTCCCCGAATACGATTGTTGCTAAGAATAAAAACACCCAGTAGGTTTTCCATTTTAAATTTCGGTGTCACAATCCGTTCACGGCGCTTATATTTCTATTTTTTCTTGTACGCTTCACTATTTCGCTTCAAAATTTGTGCCGAGCCAGTTCACATGAATGGTCTCGCATTTTCACCACCAAAAATATTCCGTAATACCGTCAGCTACTCATTCTTCACATTTTCGCTCAATTTGCTTTACGTAATAGAGCCCCAGAAGGATACGGACGTTTGATTCTCGATAAATAGTATGTTATCCAATGGATGGCAGCGCTGTAATCATCTCTCCGTCTCTCTTAATCTTATGGCAATATATAGCGAATTGCATTCTTTCTTTATCTTACACACAATACTCGCCTTTCAATATGCGTCTCTTCCTCCCATATGTGAGATATCGTTGGCTAACACATGGGATCTCTTTTTTACCCCCACTTCTGGTTTGTTAGCCAACTTTTAGAGCATCAAGCGCTAACATAGGATCTGGACTTCTATCAGAGATGAGTTGGGAGATTGCTCACGGGCAGCGTCGAATGCCAAATCAGAGATGAGTTGAGAGATTCACGGGAAGGA